CTTCTCAGGTCGTGCAGGCCGATGGTGGAGATATCTATATCGTCAATGATGATGCGACCTCCAGCAGATTCAATTATTCGGAACAGACAGTTTATAACTCTTAATAATAAAAATGTGTCAGCCGTTGTTACATTATGTATTTTGTGTGATCTTTCTTGCTGCATCCAGATTGGTATAGTGGGCCGCACAGGTGCTGGGAAATCAAGCCTAACAAACTGCCTGTTCCGAATAATTGAATCTGCTGGAGGTCGCATCATCATTGACGATATAGATATCTCCACCATCGGCCTGCACGACCTGAGAAGCAGGCTCACGATCATACCACAGGTAAACACATGCACTCACAAAAACAAAAACACTCACCGCACACACAGCAGTCAGTGTCAAATGGTACAGTGATCGATCCAACCCTCTGGACGCAGGATCCAGTGTTGTTTTCTGGGAGCTTGAGGATGAACCTGGACCCATTTGACAGATTCAGTGATGAGGACATCTGGAGAGTGCTGGAGCTCTCCCATCTGATGAACTATGTATTGGGGTTGCCTGAAAAATTACAATATGAAGTCACAGAGGGAGGAGAGAACCTCAGGTAGGCCAAACATCATTTTTTTCTCTGTAAATGGGTACGGAATATAATTGATGCCCCGATGATGAGTTATTTTAAATACTGGTTTGTAACCTGTAACCTGTTTATGTGTAAATCTGACACAATTCATTCCAAGTACTTGCTTAGTGTTGAGGTAATATCATCCTGATGCACTATATTCCCAAAGTCACTAATACGTTAGCTGCAGTCTAAATCCAGGAACCTGACCTATCCAGACCCAGATCTATAACCTCTGAATCATTGAAGGCTGACAGTTTTAACCAGTCCAGCTTTTCTAGCCTTTATGGGAATAGTTCAGTTATTTGGGAAACTCACAAACCAATAGCATTTGTTGTAAATCCTCTAAGGTGGTAAAAGATTGCTTCTTACAAAAATGTATAAAACTAGGTAGTAACTGCTCTTCCCTTCTCATCTTCTTCACATTCTCTCTTTCTTTTTCTCTCCATCTTCTAAACTTGCCCTGTTTCTCTTTTCTTCCCAGAGATGATCTTTGACTGATGCAGCATTTTTTTTATTTAATCTGTGATGAAAGTAAACACAGACGTAATTGACATTTTCAGTGGATGCAAATGTTACCGGTATCCGGTGGGATAATACATATTAAGTGTTAATGTCTATAGGTGTACATTTCCACCTTGTCTATAGACTGAATTGAAATAGAAGTATTTAAACTTCAGTTGGAATTGAATCTATATGAGATAGAATGATGGTTTATATTCATCTCTGTCCTTTATGAAACAAATGTGTCCCTCTCTTCCCAGTGTTGGGCAGAGACAGCTGCTGTGTCTAGCTCGAGCGCTGCTGAGAAAGTCTCGTATCTTAATCCTGGATGAGGCTACAGCTGCTGTTGACCTGGAAACTGACAGCCTGATTCAGAATACCATCCGCAAGGAATTTTCGCAGTGCACCATCCTCACCATCGCCCACCGACTGCACAGCATCTTGGACAGCTCCAGGTGAGTGACCCTGAAAATGCTTTGAGGAGGTGTCCTGACATCCATTTCACTCCTTCACTTGCATGTGTATTCCTCCATGCCTCTGTATTATTCTGCTTTGTGTATGGTGAGTGAAACACAAATGGCCTTTAAAACTTGAAAAGGTTAGGAAGTGTGATGTGGCACATTTTATTTATTTTCAGAAGAGCTAATTCCACCAATTTGAT